GTTTTTGCAGGCCATGTGGAAATTTAACTTGAGGGACCTTATTGTTTGTACTGGCATCATTCTCTTCATACTCGCCGCCTCCATCACCGGATTTATTCTTTTCGTAGATCCCCAGTTGGTCAACCAATACACCGTCCGTATGGTCCTTATGGTCCTCTCGGGTGTCTCGGGCGTGCTTTCTTTCTCATTGAAGGGTGAAGGTAACCTTTTTAAATAAATAAAATTTCTTATTTATTTAATTTTTTTTTTGCTTGTTGTACTGTTGTTGTTATTATTATAGTTATAGTAATAGTAATTGTGTATTAATAATATTTGTTGTATTGTGATTGGTGTTATTATTATAATTTCATAATGTTATGGATATGATCGGGACGTCAGTGGTATTCCCTATGTAAGGGTTGAAGTTATGAGTTTAATAGTTGGGGGAAACATTATTTTTGAACATGTGATGGGAAGAGTTGGGACTCTCAACACAAACTTTTTCGACCAAGTGGCGGTGGCACTTAGTTACGCAGTCCCTTCCGTATTCATGGTTGCAATCCTCATCAGGGGCTGGGGCTCTTCTTCAGGTCGTCTCAACTACATTCTCTCCCTTATACATTTTTCAATTGTGTGTTCATTCATCTGGCACAGCACCTACATAAACTTTGACCACAATGACTTGCCCATTACTAATGGCACACCGTCCAACCTCGTCTTCATCTCGGCGCGCTTCATTTACGTGCTCGCGGCGCTCTCCCTTATAGTCCAGTTCTACTATGTACCAGGGGGGGTCACCACGGTGCGCAACCGCAACAAACTCGTGGCCTTCCTGTTGCTCATCCTGGTGTCCTCAATCGCCACTGCTGCTACATTCTGGGGGACTAGTAATGCTTGGATTGCGTACTACGTTACGGCGCCTATGTGGTTACTTTCCACCGTGGGGTTCGCGTTCGCAGTCCGAGGTATTGGGACGTTTCATTGGTGCCGTGGCTTTTGTCCTGGACAGTTGCTCTAAACATATTCGTCCTTGGATCAATGGACACAAACACTTTAATGAGATGTGGAGTGTGGACCGGACTTCTTCTCATCATTTACTATTTCTCCTTCATCTGCCTCCACCCCGTCACTGCACAGGAGCTGCTGGAAATTATGACCATGTGAACACTAAGAATTATGTATTTAATTTCCTTGTCATTTTTAGTTGTGGATGAATTTCGAATTATGCATGTATTTGGAATTGTGTTGCTGGTCTATTAAGGAAAGACGTCTTTTTTGCACTGCAATAAATTAATTAATTAATTAATTAATGCTTCTGGCTTCATGCCTAGCTAGCTAGCCAGCTCTATGGATTCTCCATCATCTCATTTGGTTCATGCAGGCATCAATTTGGGATTAACTTTGAACTTTTCACCCGTACAACTTTGACCAAGTCTCCGCACATCTGCTGAGTTAACATTTGGTGCTCCTGTTTGCGTAATGTTAGGTACTGGAAGAAACCTTTCAAGGGGCTTCTAATTCCAATTCGTATTCAAGTTACACTAATTTCAAAAGTAAAACAATATAATGAAAGAGAATGAAGAACTCTTCCATAAAAAAGACTGAAATAACAATATATTTTTCTGTTTTTTCCATCTTCATATATAATGATATATTTATACTAATTTACTAATACCTATAATAATTAACCTACTGAAATTATACTAACTATACAAAATAATTAAATTTATTATTTGTTATTCTAATATTCTTTATAACTCAAATTAATGTCTAGAGTACACTTAAAACCTTAACCACCTAATTGGATCACTTATTCTTACATGAAAAACTTGTTAAACGACAAAATAAATAATTATTACTTTATGAAATAGCGATTACGAGGGCCAAGGGCCATCATATCATTGTTTTGAAGAGTCAACCTAATGAAATTGAGGTTCAATCTTTTGACCTCTCATATGGGAGAAGTCACTACATGCTATCTGAGCACAATGTGCTTGACCATCCATTGTATCATTTAATTTGCAAGGCATTCATAATATTGAATCTTCAATATAATCTTGCTCCAAACCTATTTTAGATGACCTGTGCTTGCACGTTTTTTTCTTAACAATTGCCCTACCGATCTTATTACCACTCTTATCAATTATACATTATTTTCTTAAACTATACCCTCATAATTTACGATTGGATCAGTCATTTATATTGATTGCGGTATTAAATCAATGATCCATAAACACTAATTTTGATAAGATCTATATTCTTACGTTAAGAGATTGATGTTTTAAGATATTCTCATGTTTTATAGATTCGAAAAATTTTAAATTCACACGTTAATTAAGGAAAATATTGTTTTTTGACGTTATGGGTTGTTTACCTATCTATCTTCTCATCTCAATGATTAATAGAGATGAAGTCATTCCGATCGGGCTTCCAATGATTACGAGGCTTTCATAATTTGGCAAGTTTCCAAATGCACCAAAACATTCTGTTAGCTACCTCGTACATGGATTGAGAATATATTGTACTACTAATTGTTCGTATTTTAGCTAACTTAATTAGGTAGCGTGTTACATCTTGTTGAATTATTACACGGTTCAGTGAAACTTTACATCAATTCATGCCTAATGATAATAACATAATCATCATTTTGTAACAACCTTGATTGTTTTTTTTTTTTTTTTTTTTTTTTTGCAAGAACAACCTTGATTGTTGAAACTTGTAGCAGAAGGTACGTGACAACAGAGGTAAATTAAATAATTATTTAAAAATCAAAATATTTAAAAAATTTAAAAAGTTTAAAAAAAAAAACAAAAAAAAAAACCCTCGCCGGCGAGAAGTTGCTGTGTGTTTTTTTTTTTTTTTTTTTTTTAATGTTTTAATTTTTATATTCAATTATTTAATTTAAATTTATTAAAATAATATTTCTAATTATAATATTTTTTTTTTTGAAAAGTCTAATTCCAATATCTAATTTTTTGTGTAATTAAATTAAATTTGACAAGGGTGATGTAAATAATGTTATTTATGGTAATTTATATCCTACACCATGGCGCGCGTTGTATTGTGCGCCCAGATGCAAAACGACGTCGTTTCAATTTTTTTATTTTTATTTTTTGAAATTTCGCTACCCAGTGTTTGGCAGTTAATTTTTCTTAAAAAAAATCTCATGTTTAAAAATGTACATAATGTTATACTAGAATACACATAATTGTGTACATGAATGTACATAATTATATAACAAAATACACATACTCTTTTTTAAAGATAATACATATAATCTAACATAATACATAATAAACATAAACTTTTAACATAATACACATCAACTCTTAACATAATACACAAAAATTTCCTGATTCGGATGTACATAATTGTATAAAAAAATGTACATAATTGTATAAAAATGTACATAATAAAAAATATACATAATTGTATAAACAAATATACATAATTATGTCAACTTCCTACCGCGCTTCCCAAAACGACGTTGTTTTGAGAGGCGCGAGACGCATAGTACACTGTGCGCCGTTTTGCTATTTACTTCATCTATAAAATTGTTGATTTTTTCACCTTTTTAGAATTTCAAGATTATTTACAGGTGATATAAATAGTGATACCCGTGTACGTAATATTAATGAATTCTTTTCACACACATTTGATCATTATTTAATTTGTTCACATCATCAACAGCGCATTCATATTTCTCTTATTTCTAGCCTATCCTAATCAAATGCCATTGCATGCATCGCAAGATTCAATTCTGGCTTTAATTAATCATTCATCACATGCCTGCCTGCCATAAATGAAATGGAAAAGATAATTCAAAGTCATGAAATAATTAAGAGAAACATGAGATTGTAGTCTAATGGCACAAAGTGACTCAAATTAATTTTAAAATCAGATTTTTTTTTTAATGTTACTAGCTCTATTACAATGTAGTATCATGTTTTAATTTTAAAATCAGGTTAATAAAACTACTAGTGAAATTTTTGAGTCTTCCATATTCAATATAATGTCTTTGATAATTAATGCATTATGCACTAAAATCCATATATACCTCACAATGGAGAGGAGAGGAGTTACGCATTGTTCAAACGTACCCTACCAAGTCTACATTACCACGTACCCCCTCCCTTGCATAATTTAATTTTGTGCTCAACTCAATGTTAGTTTAATTGCGGCCTAACAAGTCTTTTACGTTAGAGTACGTACTTAATTAAACTTGGTTGCTACAATATTATTACTCATATACCCTTTACAAACTTCACATTTCTCCCAATTATCAAATTCAGAACCTTAGCTTAATTGGTTTACTAAAGCAGATGCGTGTGTATCTCTCTCTCTCTCTCTCTCTCTCTCTCTCTCTCTATATATATATATATATATATATATATATATATATATATATATATATATACTTGTTAAGCAAACCAAATAACAAGGCACGGATGAGATCATAGTTTTTGAACAAATGTAATCCATCCTTATTTTTCTTCCATCGGGAAGAACTTATATATAAAAACAAAATCGATAAATACAACTTAACGTAACCTGAAAATGCAATTAGACCATTGAATGAAAAGAAAAAAGAAAAAAGTGTCATTAGGCCACTTATTCGAACAAATAATTACACAATTATCCGTAAAGTGTGCGTGCAATGCACAGATAAAATTAATGAGAATGATAGGGCCAATTTAACTACTCTCGATGAGTAGTACGTCCGTAGGAGTTTTATGGTGATGAGATCATTGCTTTGTTTTTCCTTTTGCTGTTATTGTTATCTTTAGGGGTGGTCATGGGTCTGCTTTGGGTTCGACCCGTGCCAATATAGGTCACCCGAAAATTTTCGGGTGTTTTTTTTTCAAGCCCGAAAACCGAACCGAAAACTTTCAGATTCCCTTCAGGTTCGGGCTCTTCCGGTCGGTTTAATACGGGTCGGGTTGAAATTACCCGAAATTATAAATTATTACAAAATCTTAAAATTTTTTTAAGCAAGAAAATTCTGGAAGTAAACCCAAAAATTATAAATCAATTCCAAAAATAAATAAAGGACAATAATTACACGTATGACATTCCCAAAACTAGTTAATTACAAAATTTTTAAATAGAATTTAAAAAAATTAAATAAAACATACTGAAATATAATTGGGGGTAATGGCAATCATTTGGTAGATCGATTTAGTTCGTTCGCAAATATTCATCCGTTGATCCTTCACTAGTGGGCTGTTTCTTCAAATTAGGACCTGTAACAATTGTGAAAATTTATATATGAATTCCAATAATTATAATCATGATAAGATACTTAATAGAAAATACATATGAATTCTAATAATTATAATTATGATAAGATACTTCATAGAAAATACATCCGATACTTACATAGTTACATACAAACATTCCAAAACTTCCAGGGCATATAGCAAGCATAAGCAATGACCTAAATTCCTAAAATATAATAGTGAGCTAGTGACAATGTAATACAAAGAATCAGATCAAGGACTACCAATGCAATCTGTAATATAATTTTCACTATAAAATTAAATAAAAGGAAAACATATTATTTCTCATATCAAATCTCCATACACTAGTTTTAACACAACCATAGCCTGATCTGAATTAAATTAAACTTACAGCACATGAAAAAATAAACACTATAAATTGGTGAACTCACTGAATTTTACCAACTAAAAATATAAAACAATTAAATTTTTAAGTGTCAAACCCTAAACTGATACACATAATTAGAATTTACAACAAACATTCTACAGGAATTAATACACATAATTATACACAACAAATACACATAGCTCCTATATTACTTTATTAGATACAAACTATTTAAAATCAAAGAGAGAAACTATTAAAAATCAAACATACAAACTATGCACACACTGTTTGAGTCATATATTAGAACTTATAAAAAAAATGTATTTTTTAAAAAATCCTAAAGGCCTGAACCATTAAATTATGCACCAATGCATTTGACTAATTAGTCATGGTTCGCATCTACAAAGAATGATATTTTAATGAATTTTATAATTAATTAGCTTATCAAGAAAGATCACTGGCAGACAATTTTCAGTACAGTTGAACATATTTCTTTATAGATAGAATATTGATGTTGACTAATATGTTTTGATAGATCAGATCAGAGGAATACTATTCCATAAAAATGATAAAATTAACGCTTAATAATGAGTTTTGTTGTAAAATATGATCTTTCCTCTCGTGATCGATGCACAACATGCATGCAATCCTCATTTGCGGCAACCCTAAGCCTTGTGGAATATGATCGATAGATGTCGCTTCCTTCTCACTTCAGCCTTCTTTCTTGATTTGATTTCCTTGATCTCAATCTTGGTCCGATCCCTCCTACCATTCTTATATTTATGCTGACTTCTGAAAGGGTACTTTTGCTATCATCTGAGCAAATGAGAAAAAAGTTGGACTGCTTACCAGTTGACCAGTTGGATTAAAGACCACAGGAAGTGTAAGTAGTTTAAGGGACAAACAACTATAATTCTGAGGCTATAGATTTGTCGTATGTCGGTTTATTGTAGAAGCAATGTAGGTTTCTTAATTGCTAGGGACATGGATGGTGTTGTTGTACGTCATGTTCGAAGGTTAGCGAATCAAGTTGCTCACGTGCTTGTGCGGCTCGCTATTTCATCTTCTTTTTTGGTGTGTGAGAAATTATTCTACCTAATTGTATTTTGGACTTGTTATATGATGAATGAAGTTGTTCTTGGTTTAAAAAAAAAAGAAAGAAAAAGGGACAAACAACTGTTACATGCATCAAGTTTTACATTCAATTCACTTGTCATTTTATTTTTATTTTTTTAAATACTAATCATCAATTGATAATCGAGATTGGTCCTTACGAGGAGGTGTGGCTTGCTTATGCATGCACCTATAACAAAAATAAATAAATAATAAAAATCAAACCGAATTAAAGAGGTTGTCAATGTATGGTCTTACCTAAAAATTATTCGTTAAAAGTAGATCTTATGTAAAGTCATTTCACGTTGTAAATGTATAACACTTTTACTTAATTAAAATATAATACATTTCTAAATATTTATAAAATAAAAAATAAAAAAAATTCCTGAATTCTCTAGAAACATATGCAAGTATATACGCTACCTTTTATGTCTCCACAAAAATTGATTGTAAGAAATAAAAACATGCATACACTAAAAGTGTGCTTGGATAGGAACTTTTAATTTACACACTGTTATGAGTTTTGTCGTTTTGATACATATTATTAAATTTGTTTGTGTATGTTTATTATCTTACTATTGGTAAACACTAAACATGCACGATATGTATTTTAGCAATTGTTATGTCGTAGAAATGTGTCTATCTTGTAAGGTGGACACGGTTCCAATATGATGTTGATTTGTAATTTTAGAGTATCGATACGATTAGTGGCACCGTTTTTCTCCACCAATCATAATTTAAAAAAAAAAAATTGTCAAAACAACTCAGCGAGACGACGTGAATATAGAGTTCAATAATTATGAACATAGAGTTTTATAATTGTCATCCTTATGCGTGGATCTTAATAAGGGGAAGAAGAGGAATCACCCCAAATGGGATGAAGGATGAGAGATTACCATTAGGACCATATTTCTAACAGTCAACTAACAGAATTTTTAACAAATGACTAAATTGTGTAAAATCATCAAAGTCGAGGACTAAATTGAGCACAAAAAGTCATTTATGACTGAGTTGAGTAAAATCACTATAGTCGAGGACTATATTGCATATTAACTCGTAATATTATTATCTTTTATCAATAAATCTTAATTTATCTCCGCAATTATTGTTTTGTATCAATATATAAGTTACAGTAAAATTTTAAAAATAACAAAAATGAAAAAAAAAAAAAATGGCGCCACTAAAGACCATATTTTTGTGAATTAGGAAACACTGCCGTTTTGAACTAGAGGTGTATTCTAATTCATGATATAACAATTAGGTTCACTATAAAATTGACCTCTTAAATGATCATGCTTTTAACATATACAAATTCATGTACAAATTTGACTTTACCTAACCAATGACCAAGTCGTAACCGATACTCAAAGTAGAAATAAAATGTAGGTAGTCAAATACGGAGTGGAGTGTTCAATACGGTGTGATGTGCGTCGTCTTGGTCTCATAACACGCCAAACACGACTTTGAATTTTTCACCCGTAGAACTTTGACCAAGTCTCCGCACATCTGCTGAACGCCGGCCGAACAGTCGCTCTGCATCACCACCAATACCTTGGTAATCCCGTTGACCTTGCCCACCGCCTCCTGTGCGTCCTTGTCACGCGCCAGGCTGCAGACGCTCCACAGCACCGTTATCCCGTGCTCCGTCGCCGCTCGTGAGCACTTCATCAGCCTCTTCACTATCCCCGTTACGCACTCCTCGTCGGCACTGATTGCGGCCCTCCCTTCCGTACACGTCGCAACTGTTTCTAGCAGTTTCAAAGTCTTCTCCATCACTGCGTTTGCCCTTTCTGGACCGGAGAGAATTTTCCCGATGGTTTTCACGACACCGAACCGAACGAGCTCTTTCTTCACCGGCCTGGAGGTAGAAACGGCTATCAGACTTGAAACTCCGGCCTCGATTGCAAATCGATCGGTTTCTTCACTGATTAAATGACAAAGCTCGTAGAGTAAGCCTTGCTTTTCGGCGATCTTGAGCTGTGAGTCGCCGTCCAACGCGATAGATTCCAAAACTCTGGCGGATTGAATCTTCGAGCTCAAGCTCCCTTTCTGAAGAAGCAAAACGAATCGCGACAGATAATCGGTATCGCTTTTCAAAATCAACCTATTCAAGTGCTCTTTAATACCATTCTCCGATAAAATCAGGTCCAAAATCGCAATAATCGATTCACAAAATTCGATTTCGTCGGAATTCTTCAGAGCTGCGACAATACCGGAAACTGCCTCACTCGAATTAACAAAAAATCTCCGGTTCTCCTCAGAATATTTCACAAAATCGGCGATTTTCTTTGTAGAAACGGCGGTGCTAACTTTCTCGATATGCTTGATGATGTCGAGCGCTTCCTGTTTGGAGAGGGCGGAAGGCGAAGGCATGGCGGCTTGGTGATGGAGCCAGAGGTGGATGAGGCGGCGGAGGGTGAGGTTGGGAACGAAATCAGTGGAAGGGAGAACCTGCATGGTGGCGGGACAAGTGTTGTGGCCCTGAGAGAGCCACATCTGAATGGAGCTGCGGTCGTAGGTGACGCCGGAGCAGAGACTTACCGGAGACTTCATGACGTCCATGGATATGGGACACCGGAACAAGCTGGGAACGGTAACGTACAATCCCGCTCTCTTTTCTCTAGCCATTAATTCCAAACTCTCTTTCACTTGAGTGCCTGGTAGACCTCAGATCAGAGCCTAAATATAATGGGTTTTGGTCAACCAAATTAAGTAAATAATTGCGACTAACAGCAGTGATAATAACACGTAGAATAAAACTTAAAAGAGTATTAAATAATGGAGATGATATTTCATATTTGATAATGGTGGATGGGTTTGGTGAGCTAGTGGAAAGAGAGAAGAGAGCATGTTGGTCTTCTCACCGTGCCCCACACGCTCAAGTCCGTGGCTGGCATGAATTTCATGCACAAAAAGTCTGGTAGCCCCTTTGAGTCACTTGATAAACAAATTCTTACTAATAATGCATTTGACCAAATAGTCTAGAAGGTTCTTTGTGTGCAGTAAATAAAAATTTAACTTTTATTTGTTAAACAGAAAAAGACTGAGAGTGAAGAGGGAAAGATAGATCTCTTATTCATGCTCAGCCATTCTTATGGGCTATGGCAATATATATATATATATATATATATATATATATATATATATATATATATATATATATATATACAAGGTAAGCATAAATATGTACTAAATAGAAATAAGTACATCACTTACAATATGACTGTTACAACATGGCTGTTACAACATGGATAATAATGTCCAATAAGTATAATATTTATAACACTCTCCCTTGGACATTATTTGTCCACAACCTTGCTTCGATAAACACTTGCTAGGAAAATCTTGTGGGAAAAACCTAAACAAGAAAATAGTACAAGGTATATGGATAGCATACATTCATGCCTCATTAAAAACTTCACTAAGAAAATCACGTGGGAAAAAACCTAGTTGAAGAAAAGAGTACATGGTATATGTAATAAAAACATATATTGTATTGGTCGCCTCATTAAAAACCTAACTTAAGAAAACCCTGTGGGAAAAACTTAGTTAAGGGAAAAAGAGTACAACCATAAGCTTTCAGGGTGCAAACTGCATAATCTTCAGGATTTTGGGGTTTGTCTATTTAAGCAATTATTTTGTAACTTTTTCCCATTGTCATTACTATATCATATTCATGCCTCATTAAAAACCACACTAGAAAACCCAATGGGAGAAAACTAGTGAGGAAAAAAGTACATGATATTTATGTGTTGCAAATAGTGCGCAACTGTTAGTCTTTTATGACTTAATCTTCAAGATTTTACGTTCAATCTTCCGGATTGATTCAAGTAAATGTACTTCCCTTTGTGTT